TCAGAGTGTTTGTGTGTGGTCCCCAAATTGAACAGGTACACAGCCAAAGCAAAATTAAGCGAAGAGGGTGGTTGAGTGGTTTGATTATTTTTTAGACCACTAATTAATTAATGGGTAAGCAGTAGAACTAAGAAAGGTAGGGGAAATCTTTTCGATAATGACATCTGTTAGCCATGCAGCTATGAGCATGACCTTGGAATGAAAGGGATCTGAGTGGGAATACTGGCTCCATATTGCTGGCTGTGTGGCTTTGAACAAATATTTTCTTCTTTCTGTCTGAACCTCAGCTTCCTCATCTGTAAAAGAGGATGCTCTGTCTCAGAGGATTTTTGCAAGGGTCAGTTTGGGTAATCTATTACATAATATGTTTAGTGCCTAACATGCTCTCAACAAATAGCAGTGATTATAAGTATGATTACACTTACTCTGCGAGAGAGGGAGGCATCCTTAAAGGTGTTTGAGGAGTACAGTTCTGGAAGGGACCCCTGCCGGGGACAGCAATGGGCTAAATGGCCTTGGAGCTTTGGGCAAGTGTACAAGACTGGCGAGGAGGTGAGTTGGGGTCTCTGTGGGCAGCGGCTGTCTCAGGCTGCTCTGCCTCGTCTCCGTGTTCTTCTGACTGTGCCAGGATGATGCCTGTGTGATGCGTGTGTGTGATGTTTGTCCTGTGGGTGGGGAGGCGAGGGCTGTTCTTAGATGTGGTCCCTGAAAGCCTCCCTAGGATCCTTTTCACCATGTTGGGCCAGGATGTGGGAAGCAGTGGCTCGGAGGGTGTTTGGGAATGACTTAGATGATGCCAAGCCAGAACAAGATCGCCTGGGGACTGCCAATTCCAGTCCCAGAGGCAAGACTCTGGGTCTCAGCCTCTCCCGTGTCTCCTTTGGTCTGATCCGGACCGCTTGTCCAGCCAAGGCCACTTCACCTGAGGTCACTGGGATCCTAGAAGAGGTGTGCTCCTGGGCCCCACCTGCAGCTGTTAGCACGAGTCTGAGCCTAGAAAGGAAGCAGTAGGTGGTTTTAGCTAATACAGAGACGGGAATGCAATGGGTCAATCTTGGGTGCTGAAGTCCCTGACTGATAATCCTGTCTTTACACCCGTCCCACCCACTGTGGGGCTGGAGTCAGTTGGAGACCCCCAGGTGATCGCCTCCTGGGTTGGCGCCATCCACATCATCCCCAGACACCTGGGTGCCAGTCCTGGTGATCAGTAATGGAAGGCCGTCAGGGAAGGGAACACTGTGTTAGGCATTAGACACATGTTATCCCATCCATTTATGAGATAGCTGTTCTCATTTCCATTTGACTAATGAAGAAAATGCAGCTCAGAGAAGTTAAGCAAACTGCCCAAGGTCACACAGGTAGGGAGTAATGAAACTGATTTTCACAACTGAGCCTGTGACTTCAGAGTCTGTGCTTGCTACACTAAGACTGGTTTTGCTCCTGAAGATTACTGATGGGGAGAGGGAGAGAGGTCGGACATCTGCCCCTAGGTCATGGTCTGAGAAACAGGTCAAGAGAGCCCCCTTGAGAATGAGAAATGAGGTGAGTGAGTGTCCAAGACAGTTCCTGCCCAGCCTGTCCCTAAATAAAGGATGTTCTGGAAGTCGGGGGCGGGCTTCCTTTTGAAGGGCCCCGAGGGGGCGTCAGCTGCAGGAAGAGCTGGGGCAGCAGCACGGCAGCTGCCTCCCATCCGTGTTCTGTGCCAGGGCCCCCCTAAAACTGAGCGTGCCTGGGAGTCACCTCCAGGCTTGTTAAAAATTAGCTTCTACTTCCTGGAGCTCCAGGACCATGCTGGGGCTGCCGTCCAGGGACCACACTCTGAGTAACCCGTTCTCATCCTCTGGACTCTGAGCCACACTGTGTAGGCAGCGCCAGAGTCAAGGTATCTTCCTTCCCCGTGTTTACCCCGAGCGCTAACAGACCGGGCTTGTGCCACAGGACATGTCCGCTTGGCCTCTTGAAGCTTCCTTCAGGATGTCTTCTCTGACCTGCTTCTACCCTCAAGTCCTTTAGGTGAGAAATGGTTAAGAACATGGACCCTGGAGCTAGATGTTTTGGGTTCAAATTCTGCCTCTGCTTGTATGACCTGGGGCGAGTTACTGAACATCTCTGAGCCTCGGTTTTGTTGTCTGCAGGTTGGGATGATGTTGTCTACCTATCTCACAGGGAGGAGGATTAGATGAGGGACCACCGGTAAAGCTCTCAGGATGAGCCCATTATAAGTGTGCTCTCCTCTTCATTATTTCTGCGGTCCTCACCATCTCTCTCCGCCCAGCCTCCCTCCAGCCCTGGCTTCTTTCTCTCTGACGCCAGTGCCCAGCACAGAGAATTTTCTCAGAAGTCAAGTGTGAAGCCCTGAGGCCAGGCAGAGCAGGGACTCTTCTCACAGGATGCAGATTTATAGCCAGAGGCCAACATTAGGACCGATTGAGGGATTCTGCTAGGATTACTGGCTCCTCCCAGCAGGGCCGTCCTTTTCTCTTTTTATCTGGGAGCTGACAAAAAACAGAGGGTGACCCAGTTCCAGCCTTACCCTGCTCTGCGGGGCATGGCCAAAGCCTTTGCGTTCTGTAACTTTTGCCTGTCTTCTGGGTTGTGCTCTGAGAGCAGCCCTTGCCCGTAAACCCAGTCTGGTGAGGCTGGGGGAATCCGCACGTAGGGGTGGGGGTGTCAGGCTGTCAGGACACGGCCCCCGCCTGGGTCTGCTCCATCACCGACTCCGCTGTCTTCTCGCCAAGTGCTGGGGATGCCATGCTCCGCTGGGGGCTCGAGGGGTCCATGCCACACTGACACAACGCAGTCCTCTCTTCAGATCTCCAGCTAAAAAGAGAAATGCATGCACACAAAACAAAGGCCCTGCTGCCTAACGTAAAATACTGCTTCCTAATCCCAAGTGAGGCCAAGCACGCCGTTAAGATATTTAGAAGGCCCTTAAATTATTTCCACTTTAAAAATGTTTTTATGTTTCCCATTCTGTTCACTCGGTCGCCTAAGGTATAATTGCTCTCCTGGCCCGGACTTTGCTTCCTCACCGATGGGGACCCCAATCTTGCATCTTGATATTAAGAACAGATACTGAGAACTGAATGGGGCATTGTTTCCCAGCCAGATCAGTAGCTGCTGCCTGCATTCAGCCAGCGAGCCGTCCAAGACTGGCAGCCCGGCCTAGACCGCGTTGTGGCTTGCTTTGATTACTTGGTTCCATCCAGCTCCAATCAGGAACGGATCACACACGTCCAGGTTTTCATTTGCTCTCCCTCCCCACCCATCTTCCACAGTTGCAGCTTAAAGGAGTGGCTTTGGGGGTTGGCAGCCTGCTTTGATTTCTGTGTGTTCAGGGTGCTGGGCTGGTGGGGCAGAGGATCCCCCCCAGGTGTCCCCTGGTCAGACCTCTGAGCCAGAGCAGACCCGGAATGGAAACCTCCGCTGATACATTCCCTCACTTGTGACCAGTAAAGGTTCTAGAAACTGCCTTCAGACTGTGAACAATGAGGAAAAGCCATTCTTTCCCCAGAAGGCAGAAATCCCTTGAAATCTGACTCTTTCACATTTTAACCAGATAGGTCTAAATATAGAACCACACCATCTCATTTTAAAAGGATTTAGGAACACGATCTACTGGTTATTTAAAAACTCTGACTGCAAGTCTTTATTATCCCGCCCGTGTCCCCCGCCGCCTCCCTCTCTCTGCTCATCATGACGTTTGGTCATAAATGCCAAGAACCCAAATGGAAGCCTTTGAGCGGTGGGACCCAGCTGAAGAACAATGGAAGGATGTTGGCTTGCAGGGTGCCAGCATTTGCCAAATAAGTTTATCCTTTATTTATTATTTTCACTGTGGCTTAAAACACGCAGCCCTCAAAGCCAAGTCTCTAAACTGAAACGTATGGCAGGCTGATCTCTGCTCACAACCAACGCAGAGACTTTCTTCCTTTCGCTCCTCACCGGTGATTGGGCCCGAAGACAGTATGTTTTGAATTTACCGAGCGATCTCCTGCTTTGGGCTCAAGTTTTTGTACTTTTAAAAAGCAATCAATAATGGCCAGTTTGTAATAAGAAAAATTTATGAACTGACAGGCAAAATGTAATTACAGAGGGGATTCCTTGCAAGAAAAAAGAGGTGATGTTAACAGACATCCCGACAATCTGTTTGCACTCATTTTCATTCATATAAATGATGAAGTGCTTCTGGGTGGAATCAGCGTTCTCCAAAGGCTTCCCGGGAGCCTGGAAAAGTCGCTGCCAAAGTTTTTGCTAATGAAGGGCAATGAGTCTTTGCACTAACTTCTCATTGGCATCCACAACATGGGTTTTTCGCAGTGTTGTTTTTATGACTGGGACTGTTACCCAGCAGTGAGTCTACTCCTCATCCTGTTGGACCCCGAGGAGACCCAGCACGCTTGGGAGCTTCCTGGAAAACCAGGCAGTGTCTCAGGCACCCCAGCCGGCTCCGGTTCCTTCACTCTCTCTGGCCAATTTCTTTTTTCAGTTCCGGCTGCTGAGGGAAGATGTGGAATTTCCTATCTGCAAAAGGTGCCTTGGAGTGGGAGAGCAGAAGTTCCTGGGAAAACAGCAGAGGCTGCCCCTACACAGCCTGATCCTGGTCACCCAGAGCACAGGGCATTGGGTCTTTATATATCCTAGGTCTTGACAGATGCTTGAAAAATAATAATAATGACATCTGACACCTACATGTCACTTTCAGTTATAAAGTACTTTTGATACTGATGTCTGTTTTGACTTCCATGGCAATCTGAAGGGACATGTATTATTGTACCCATTTTAGAGATGAAAAAATTCAAGCCCAATGCAACTACTTGACTTTCCACAGTCACACAGCATTCAGTACCTGAGAACGGCGATTTGGACCCACGTTTCCCTGTCTCCTCAGCCTGTGGTCTTTTGAACATTGTAAAAATAGAAATAGCCAGTTCTTTTAGGAAGAGCAAGGAACAGAACAGATAACTCTCGTTAAAGAAATACAATTTAGTGACATTTTATTTAGACGTGTTGACTTTTAGAGTGAGACCGAGGTTGCCAGAGGTGAGAACTGTTTTCCCGTTTTGCATGTGCAGGGTGTGACTGTTTTCCAAGTGCATCCCCGTCCTGGCTTTCTGTCATTTGCACATCACCACAGCTCTGTGGGAGAGGCAGGGAGACGTCACCACGTTGTGGAGAAGAGTGAAGCTACGAGGCTGGGGGACCTGCCCGGGGCCAGAGAGGACACCCCCAGGACGCTGGAAGCTCCTGACCACCTTCACAGCTCACTGACAGCTCACTGACAGCTCACTGACATACAAGACGGTTCTTTTTATTGCTTTTACAGAAAAACCTCAGTGTTAGATACCCATAGCGAATTTTTTTAGTGATTGCTTTTTTCCTCCATGCTTACCTCTCAGCTGAAAGTCGAATGATCACAAATCAAGTTAAGATCCAGGAGTCCATTGAAGCAAGCAGCATCCCCTAAAGGATCAGTAACTAGAAAGAGTCAGGGCCAGTTTGCCCTCCGCAGCCCAACCGCCATCCTGACATTCAGTCCTAGCCCTGCTGCTGCCACGGCCTGGGCGACACTGAGTCACCTAAGTGGACAGTGATGTGTCACAGAGATGTTCAGTAACAATGGTGGACGCAGAAGGGGTCTGAGCTTCTAGGTACCCGAGGATCCAAATGCCCAGTAATCTCTATTTCTCTGGGCAGGGCTGCTGGCTGTGGGTTTCGGTGTGTTTGGTTCTGTGACACCTGCCAGGACACAGTAATGGCTGGTGAGTGTGGCCAGAGACAGATGTGGCTGTGGGGGAGGGTGGCAGTCAGCCTTATCAATTAGGAATCTGGTTTCACAATCTCCATCTGTATCTCTTATTTATTTGTTGCTAGAATAAAGCTACAAAACCTGTAACTGAGGTTTCAAACATCGCTCTTTCCTTGCTCTTGTGCCTGTGGGGCATCTGGGTCCTGGCCGATCCAGTTGGGATGGCCCCAGGGCTGTGGCTTGGGCTCAGGTCTGTTCCCAGTATCTTTCCTCCCTCCAGGGCCAGGGGCCCACCTGGGTGAGAGCCGTAGTGGTGGCAGAAGAGCAGGAGCCCAGCCAAACTACTGGGCACACGAAGGCTTCTTCTTGTGTCACATCTGCAAATGTTTCACCCGCCAAAGCCAGTCACATGATGAAGCCCAGCCTCCCTGGACCAGGGAAATCTGCCCCACCCACCCAGTGAGCCCAGAATTTACTGAACTGCCGAACTGTCACACCAGCTGCTCAACTCCAGAGTCCTACTTCTTAATTGACTCTAACTCAGAGGGAGAAAAGAAATTATTATAGAAATTCCTCTGAACACAGGAGACCCTGAGCCGTGGGAGCTGAAGGCAGAGAGGACTTTGAGAAGGGAGAGCAGGCAGGGGCAGCTGCACCCCGCCCCTCTGCACCAGTGGGGCCAGCGGGTCCTGGGAAGTGGCTTGAGGAGCCGCAGGACAGAAGGCCACGTCAGGGCTGGAAAACAGAAGCACTGGAGTTGGGATGAACCGAGTTCAAACTCCAGCTTCTCCACTCACTGAGTAGGTGACTTACCACTCTAGGCCTCCGTGTCCTCATCTGTAAAAGGGGGACAACATCTCAGGGCGGCAGAGAGAGGATGCGGAAAGCAAGGATGCCAGGTGCGGGAGGTTGCTCTGAAGGGAAGGAGGGAAACTCAATCATATTTGAGAAGGATGGGTTTCTGTGTGGGAAGAGGGCACTAAGATAAGTTTAGTGAGATAAGTTGAATGGGGTGGCTTCTATTTCTGCTGGTTAGAATTTTCCCCAAATTCCTGCATTCCTTCCCGACATGTTTACTGAGCTGTTACCCTGTCTGTCAGGCACCTGTCTAGGTGCTGGGACCGCGTCAGTGAATAAAAGAGAGGAAAGCTGCTGCCCTCATGGTGGGATGGAGGCTGAATTTATTAAGCACCTACTATGTTTCAGGCACTGGGCTGGGCTCTGTATCCAGATGGTTACTGTTACAGCTGATTTGAAAATTGGAAAACAGACCCAGTGAAAGTAAATAACTCCTCAAGGGCCATCTGCAGCCATTAAGAGGCACAGCTGATACTGCCCTATCCCATAGCCTGTCTACGCTGTCGCATCCCCAGACCCTGAGATGGCAGTTTGCAAAGAAGCCCTGAAGCCACATGCAAAGAAGCTCTGAGACAAGACAGGAGGAACATGGGCGACTAGAAGAGAGATGACAGTAACAGCATGTTAAAGTGATTTCTAAAGATGGACAAGGGGGCGGGGGCTGTATGATGATGCGGGCAGAGGCACTGGGCTGGGGGTTCCAGATTGGGTGTTGGAGTGTGGGTGAGAGTCTGGGGCAGCTCCTCTCCCAGCCGGTCCAGAGGGGCAGAGGGGCCCAGTGGGCCCTTCTTAAGGCTTAGGGAGCAGGGATGGCTCCGGGGGGACCACTGTGAGCTGCTTCACCATTAAGCCCAGCCTGCCCGTCACTGATGTCACATGCTCAAAGATAATGAGACCGAGGCCTGCCTGAAATCAAAAAGAAATCTGGAACAGATGTTAGGAAACCCTTTTATTTTTTTTCACTTCGAATGTGAGGATAAGCCCAGTAGTTATTGGCAGAACTCTGGCCCATGTCAGAAACAATTGGCTGCCTGACCTGAGACAGAATGGGTCCCCGGCTCCCTTTTACTTCCTTCCCAGCTCCACCCAGACACGCCTCTGAGGCCGAGGCGTGGCCTTCCCAGTGGGCGGGTGGGCCCCAGGTCTCCGCTTCAGTCTCGACTTCAAGGCTCTCTGCTCTGCTCCTCCTGACCCACTGTCTCTCCCTCTTCCTGACCTTTTCTTTCTTGTTCCCCCACCCCCACTACCAATCATGTAAACTTGGCAGGTGCACACAGACGCACTTGCACACCCACACACTGACACACGCCAAACACATGCAACTTTCAATCTTGGCAACTCCCTCAGGGTTCACAATGGGGGTCACTCCCAACCACACAGGGCCATACAGAGATGCAGAATCCTCCTGGTCACCAAAGTCCTCCAATAGCCTTTCTGTGGCATTGACTCTTAGTCACTGCAACTGAAGGGGCCTTTGGCTGGGGCCCTGCTTGGGATGTTCCATGAGTGTTGGGTTCGTGCAGACCGTTAGTTGAGCACTTTTTGTGTGCCCAGTACCCTACAAGCATATTGCCACTTTGTTGAAGGTCTCTCCAGCCTGGAGGCCTAGATGGGGTTTCTGTGGCAGTGGTGTCTTGTGTTTCACTGGCTCCTGCCCCGTCCTGCAGAGCTCCCAGGTCCTGTTTGGAAGGCCTCAGGATGGCCCCCAGCAGCTCCTGAACTAGCTGGTTGGCTGTGATTACCACATGCAGCCAGTGATAGAGTCTTCCTCCCCTGCCCTTCTGCCCGCAGCAGTCACTAGAGCTCTGACATCAGTGAGTAGGTCCAGGTCCCCCAGAGCTCCTCAGTCTGCCAGCCTTCAGAGGCTGGAATATGACTGTACTCCGAGCAGAAGGACTTCCTTCTTTCCACTCTCAACTTACACCTGTTGCTTGGGTCCCAGACTGTGTTGGTTATGGACTGTTTCATCAAGTCCCCCTGGAAATCTGTTCCTCCCTCTTCTGCTGCAGCTCCTCTCTCCATGGGGCTCACAGTAAAGCTTCTTTGGCTAGACTAGGTGGCCAGGATCCCCAGCAGATGTTATGTTGTCACTCCCTTCCATGTTTTTGCCCCTTCCTACCTCCTGCTTACATCCTCTTTCTCTCCAAAGGGAAAGAGGAGCCTATATCCCCTGCCCCATTCCTTTGGACCACTGATGTCCCAGTGGTACCCACCACTTAATCTCAGTGCAGATTACATTGACTCCTCACAACCATCCCATGAGGAGGCTAACCAGATAAGCCTACGGTCCAAATCAGGGAGCGAAGGCTGAAAGTGACTGAAGAAAGATCACTGTGCTCTGAGAGTCCTAGACCCAGTTTTGCCACTGATTGCAAGGTGACCTTGGGCAAATCTGTTCTCTGTGGTTTTCCAAGCTCCTACCCACGAACTGCAAGCAACAAGAAGATGGCTCTCCAAATTCTCTTCCTGCTCTACAAGAGTGATGCCCAGTTCAAGGACAGGCTGTGAGGATCTTCTTGGCGATCTCCTTACCCACCCACCACCAGGCCATGCATCTCTTGAACATCCTCAACATGTACATTCAGTGCTTGAAGGACTGAGTTGACTCAATACCTCTCTCTGCCCCAGTGGCCAGTTGGAGAGCCGTGCTGCTCTCTGCATGCATCTCCATCCTCACTTGGCCTTACTTAATGAACATGGCCTTGGGATCTGCTGGAGCTCCTCCCCTGCTGCTCTCGCTCTCACTCCCTTTACTTCAGCCACACTGGTCTCTGTTGATCCTTCACAGACTAAACATGCTCCAGCCACAGGGCTATTCCCTCTCCCTAAGACATTCTTAGCCCAGAGACCTGCAAAGCTGCACCCTTCATCTGTCAGGTCTTTGCTCAAACGCTACCTTCTCAATGAGACCCTCTCGGAATACCCCCTACTCTACCACTCTGACCACTTTTTCTGGCTCTGTTTTCCCCACAGCACTTGTTACCATCTGACTTACTCTCTGTTTTACTTATGTCTGTGAAATGTATTATCTGTCCCTGCACATTGGGATGGAAACTTCAGAAAAGCAAAGAATTTGGTCATTTCTGTTTAGTTTTGTGCCCCTAGCATCTAGAACCCAGGAGAAGATATTGGACAGCTCCAGGAAACGCCCTTTCCATAGACTATAATGTCCACTATGATGTAGTGGCTCTACCTGAAACAGTGCCTGGCACATTGTTGGCACTTAAGACATTTTTGTGGCACGAATAAGCTGTCTACTTCTGGCACGATTAAATCTCTTGGAAGCAGACTGTAATGCCCATACTTGAGTTTCCCATTCAAAGGCAACAGAGGCATAAAGCAGGATGACACAGGATCAAGTATCTTTCTGGCCCAAATGGCAGGGCCAAAACATCCCGCTTTTGGTATGTGAATATAAGACACGGAGAGGTCTTATATTTATAAGGTGTAGAGGAATAAGAATGGGTACAAAAACAAACAAACAAAACCAATGAATCATCGAGCTAAGGGCTACCGGCATCAAACTCAGAGTTCTAGGAGCAGAGAGAAAGATTCCACTGCCTCTTCTTGAGAAAGTTAAGAAGGGATCAGTGACCACGTTCACCAGCCCATCCTAATATAGAAACATGCGATTTCACGAAAGTTTTCAGGAAAAAGTCTGAAATATCGATTAGGGGGAATAAAAGCTTTTCTCGTTACCTCTCAGTAAGCTAGAACTTTCCAGTTACCCTCAATCTCCCCTCCTTCTTTTCTTGCCCTTTCCTGAACACTCTGGTTAATCAAGGTTGAACTGTGCCTCCTAGGGAGTCTAGAGAACGGCCTTTGCGCTTACTGAGCATTTGGCTTCAGGGAGGGAAAGACACTTACATGGTTCTGTGTCTTTTAGACACGACGGGCTAAGTCATCTTTCTTTGTCTCTCTTTCTAAACTGAGGGTCTATTAATACAAAACCTTGCCCGGCGCTGGGGCACAGAGGGCTGGGCAGGAGAGGCTTGTGCGCTGCCGAGAAAGCTTTCGAGGCCATTATCTCCTGGGCCACAGCAGGAGCCAAAGAGGGTGTCATTAGAGGCCACTAAAGGGCTGGTCTGCATCCCACCAGAGACACAAAAAAGGTTAATTACCAAGAGGAGCAGGTTGGACAAAGGACCAAGGACAAGAAATTGTAAAAGGGAGAAAAAAAAAGAAAAAGCAAAGATGAGATAACTTGGGACCAGATGGCGGTTCCCTGAACAATAAACACAGTGGGAAGTTTCTGGGCCTCTCTGCGACTGCGGGAGCCGTGAGAGCACCATTAAGATAGGAATCTTCAAACCATGGCTGGTTCTAAATCCGGCAGAGCCAGGCCTGGAAGGAAAGGGGTCCCCTGGAATTTCAGGCAGGGTTTTTTCAATACACCCCACAGGATCCCTTATCTCTGTAGATATTTAAGGAAAATACCCTAAGTTTCTCATCTTTGAAATCAGCCGACTCAGTAAGAGTAACTAACTGCACTGCTTCTCCGGACTTGCTGACAGTGACACTGGTGATCGGAGCCGCTATTAGCAAACACGATGAGGAAAGGCCAACCAGAGGGCATAGCCTGGACCTACAGAATGAGGTACCAGGACACAGGCCCCCCAGTGCAGAATCATCACCGGCCCACGTGATACAACGAAATCTAAGACAGAAAGAATATGGAAATCAAAGAAGTCTTGGATTTAAATCTCAGCTTTGCCACTTCTTAGCTGTGGGAACTTGGGTAGTCACTTCACCTCCCAGAACCTCAATTTTCCTCTCTGTAAAATGGGAACAGTATTACCTGCCCCAGAGGGCCAGTGGGATGGTACAATGAAATGGCTCCTAGTCCAAAACTCCTTTCACTACATCACAACTGTCTTTACCTGCTTTCAATGGCCCCATCAGACTTCAGGGCTATCTTCTCATCCCTGGGAGTGGCCATAATGGAAAATGCTTCAGGTGCAATGGAAAACTGTAGAGAAAGAGGGGGAGAGAGAGAAAGAGGCTGAGAGAGAGAGACAGTGACTTCTGGGGATATTCTTGGAGCATCTAGATGCAACTGTGTTTGATGCTAATCCACCCAGGACTTTCCAGTAATGTGAGCCTAAAAGTTCCATCTTTGCCTGAGCTCATTTGACTCAGGTTGCTGCTTTAACAAGAGTCTTTTCCAACACATCCCGTCCAGCCAGTGCTCCCCTAGGGGCCACCCAGGAAGGACTGGCTGTGTTTGACCTTAGGCATCACCAAACCTCCTTGCTTCTTTCTGACTCTGCCTTCAGTTCAGGTCATGCAGATTCCTTCCTTTATGACATCCCAGCCATCGCTGTCCCCTTGTTTCCCATTGCTGCAGTCAGAATGTCCCACCCTTCTCTGCCCCCATGCCCCGCCTCTAAGCTCTGCTCCGTTAGACCTCTGGTACAGAGGGGTGTCCCGGTGCCATCTCCAAGGTCCTCCTCGAGCCCAAAGTCAGTCCCTTTGGCCTAGTTGATCCCTCCACGTTCTTCAAATGGGAGCCACACTGCGCAGGCTCCAAGAAAGCTGGTGTGTGCAACCGAGAAGGCTCACCTTCATTCAATCCATTTAACTGTAAGAATAACAGCGGTGAAAAACAATCTTTAGCAATCAATGCTGTGATGAATTAAGCAGCAAATCATAAGCATCACCCCCAAATATTATGTCTACAGGAAATGGCCTTATGCAGCTAATTGTTAACTGGGAAACTCTTTCATTAATTCAAATGGGTCAACATTTTAAATGATACTGTCATATAAATGCGGTGTGAAGGTTTACGTGCAGATCACTCTAAGGTATCCCTTTTTTTTTTTTTGGTGAAGCCGACTAATGCTGCATTATGTTTTATTGTGCAATAAAATTATGTGCTAAAATTATGCTCATAAATGTACGCAAATGTAAACCAAGCTATTAGTTATGTTTTCACAGATAAAAGTCATTAGCATAGCTATCAAACTCTTCTTCCATTTGAATAACAGAATTATGTCTGGAGTCTCTGGCTGGCTTGCTGGGGCTCAGTCTCAGGGGGAACAAGTGTAAATCTTGCTGCCTGTTGGTTATGTGGGAGTCAGTATCCTGACCTGACTTCCACCCATGAGGCTGACTTTGTATGGTGCCCACTGGGGTCACCAACTGAGGAGGGGCCCTTTCAGCATCTCTCAGCATCTCACATCCCTGGGAAGTCATTCTTAACACCTCCCCACCTACTTCCTGCTAATTAGACTTATTGAAAAACAATTGCAGATCTTTTGAGATTTCAGGAGGCTGACAGCATCTTTTAGCAACAGTCACGAGGAAACAAAGTTTCATGTATAATTCATGAGGCGCGTGGTCATCCTGGTGGGAAATTATCTCCTGACAGACTTGGCGGTGGTGGTGTCCTGTCAGAATGGCCTACAGTGTATAATTAAAACCTGAACAGAACAAATTAATGCTGATTACTTTATAAACAATTTGAAAGCTTGAATTCTGTTCCCTGTCTTGCAGGAAGAAAACAGATATTTCAGAAATGTGTAGATTCCCCCCCTATCCCGGCTCCCCACTAATAGTTCTGCTAATAAAGGACCCTTGAATAGATATTACAGTTAATATTCTTTGTCCTCCAATTTGCTTTCATGAAGATCAACTCCGTGAAGTCAGAGGCACCAAACCAAAAATTTGGCAGGTGCTAAATTTCCATGCTGAAAGTAACTGCCCATCTCCTGTAAATGCATGTTTGTCTGTCTGCCTGGGCTGATAAAAGCATTCGCAGAATATGGTCAGGTCATCTAGACATACCCCTTATTTGAGAGAGAGTGTCACTGAAGCCAGTGGCCTGAGGTCAAGCAGAGCTGTGAGGAGATCATTGACTGGCCAATCCAGAGCTCCTCAACCCTGCCCCTCCACCCTTCCACTTTTGCCTGAATCATTGCTCCAGTTTTCTAAACAGTCTGTCTCACTGCCTCCAACTCTGATCTCTTCAAACGGATTCGCCACACCTCAGCCAGAGCTGGCTTTTATTTATTTATTTATTTATTTTTGCTTTTTTAGGA